GTAAAAATAAAATCTACTTTTGTAGTTTTTATATAATTTAATACTAAAAAATACAATAATTATATTTTTAATGTGTTTTAAAAAATAGTAAGTAAAAAAAACTTTATTTTTAAAATTTTTAAGGTACAAATTAAGAGTATATTTATTATACCATTTTTCTTTTTAATTTATATAAAAAATTATGAAATTAAGTTTTATTGTTAACACCAATACAGTTTACACCATAAATTACAAAAATTTAAGATAATGCCATGTGTAAAAATTTTAAATGAATGAAGGAGATTAAGGTATGTCAGATTTATTATTATGGGATCCATAACAGATCAACTGTCATATTAGCAAAAAAAAAGAGATAAAGATAAGATTTTACTATGTAATTATCTCTTTGAGTCAAAAAAGGACTATTTGAGCTAAAATATAGAAGGAAATTGCAATTATAGAATGGAGTTATCAGATAAGGGCAAAGGTGGTGAAAATCTGGAAGGAGATCAGACCAGGTCAATTGTTGAGCTATCCCATAACCTCAAGAAACCACCCACAATTTTGTAACTGTAGAAAGTGGGGAGTTACTACCGGCAAATGGAGAACAAAAAGGAAATTTTGGAAAGGAGAAGGCACAGTTAGCCCTACTCAAACATCTACAAATTTTCAGACTTTTAGTTTTTTTGCAATTGCTTCCAAATTTCGGATTTCAGCACAATTTCCAATAGATTTAGGTTGTTTTTCATTATTCCAGTAAAGAAATTAATTCATGTATTCGCTTCAACAATTTCGTTTCATACAATAAACTTCAATCTTTCAAATTTCTTCAAGGTATTGTTCCTTTTCTGTCTGTAATTAATTTAATATTAATGATAAGTAGCATTTTTTCAATAATTACTTATATGACGTTTACGCTTCTTCTTAACTTCAAGCATGTTAGTTTAATTTCTATTCATGTTTGTTTTAGTTTTAATTATGATAAAATCTCTAATTCTGTGGTAGTTTAATTCATAGATCTGTTAGTAGATAGCATTTTAATTTAACAATGAACATGTTTAATTTAATTTAGATACATCTTATTCTCATAAATTTATTTTAAATTGCATGTTATTTAGGTTAATTAGGATTTGTTAACTTTAAATAACGGTAGTGTTTAAGTTCTTGGAGTTGTCCAAAACAGATTTCATAACTCATTCTGCAGGAAGGTGTCCCTCCCTCTTACAAATCGTTTATAGGTGCAAATTTTAATTTTAATCCAACGTTCTTCCCACCATCTATAAGGAGGTCGACTGTGAGACAGGAGAGGGTTGTTGAGAAAATCTTTTTTTCTTACTTTTAGCAAAGTAAGTGGCCCGCTCACATCCAAATTTCACACGTATAAAGTCACTAGAGGATTTTTGGGGAAACAAATATTATATGAAACATTTTAATTAAATGATTGATAAAACTGTTATAACTCAATTTGTCCAATCCATTTTAATATTTCTCAAAAAAAAATCTTGATTTTTTTTAAATATTAATTTCTCACAAGTTTTTGAGTTTTAAATCAATTTTTTTGAAATATCTGAGCTTCAATGTGATGTGGAAATTAACGCGAAAATGTTTCAAAGAAAAATCAAGATTAATCGAGGTTAATTTGAAGCTATCGTCATTTTGTACTCATTTGAAAAAATTTAAAATGGAGGTTCTATCTTGGAGGGACCCCATGAGACAAGAAATGAGTAAGAGGACTAAAATGGAGATCAGGTGAAACTTGTGGATTGAAACGCATTCCAACACGTAAACGACGTCGATTTATCAGGAGGTGAAAAAAATCAAGACGGGCAGGACTCTGTCGTGCCCTAGACCCCCCCCCCCCCCTAATTTCGGCCAAATTTGCAGGGGTCAGAGGTCACGCTCTCCTTCGCCGTTCATCTCATCCAGATCGGGTGTTCCCCACCGATCAGCTTGCACCATCATTGCTTTGACCTGCAGAAAAGCAGCCACGGTTGGGAGAAAAGTGGAAAGCAACTCTTGGCATTTTGGGATCGATGGTTAGGAAAAAAAAAAGAGATGATAGTAGGAAGGTAGGAAGGTGAGGAGTAGAAATAGGTTTAGGGTTTTTGCTTTTAAGGAATAAATAGGTTAAAACAGTGAATTTTGAGGGGGCATTTCTAGAGAATTCTGGAGCAG